GAAATTTTCTGCTAATATCTCACTAAAAAGGCCTTCTAATCCTTTCTCCCTCTCCATGTCTTCAGGAACTCCTAGAACCTGAATGTTTGTTTTTTTAATAGTATCCTGAAGATTCCTGACAATATGTTTTAGATTTCTAATTTCCTCGTCTTTTCTTTGGTCTGAATGTATCCTTTCCTGTTCTCTGTCTTCTAAGTCTGATATTCTCTCTTCTGCTTCACCCATTCTGTTTGTAAGGCTCTCTATTGTGTTTGTCATTTGATCTATTGAGTTCTTCACTTCATTATGATTTCTCGTCACTATCACAGTTTCCTGTTGTACTAGTTGTTTCATTTCATTTTGATTCCTCCTTAGTATTTCATTTTCATGAGAGAGATTTTCTATCTTGTCCATTAAGGATTTCTGTAGTTCAACAATTTGTTTTTGAGAACTTCTTAATGTTCTCATCAATTTTTTGAGATCTGCTTCTTGCATTTCTTCTATCTCATCATCTTCATAATGTTGAATTGGGGTGTCTTTTTCATTTGGGGGCGTCATGGTGACTTCCTTGTTTTTATTACCTCGGTTTTTGCGTTTGTTATTTGGCATATTGGAGATATTTTGTTTCTTCACTGTGGTGCTTTTTCTTGTTATACTATGACTCTAGATTAAGTGGACTGTTTTTGATGGAGCCTTAGGGCTTGAGATGGGTGTGGCCTGAGAGCTCTGTTTGGTGTGCCAAAGGTGACACTCCCAGGTTAGGCATGGTAGACCTCTCTCTCTCTCTCTCTCTCTTTTTTTATTCAAAAGGGAAGTAATTCCACACAGCTGAACGAAGTTGGAGGTAGTTAGCAGGCAAATGATATACCCATAGGAGCCAGAGATCAGAAGCTCTTTCCCAAAGACCACACAAAGAATCTGTTCTTCCCTCAGAGTGGGCTCTAATTCTCCTTCAGTCTCCCACTGGGTTGCCAAAGTTATGGAATTGTAGCGTCTCTGGAGAGTACTCATGTGAATTCTGTGAGTTCTCTCCCCCACTGTCTCTTTTTTCACAGTCTCAGTTCAGTAGCACCACAAATTTACTGGATCCTAATCTCCTGTTTATTCACCCCACCCAGAGTCCGGTTTTTCTGCTAGGCTCAGGGCCGGTGCAGACCTGGGGTCACTCTGCTTATGACGTATGTCCAAGATGGCGCCTGCTCTTTGTCTTGCTCGCCTTTGAGAGGTGAGTGGAGAGAGAGAAACCGGTGTCTGTATCAGTCACTTTTTTTTTTCTCTCTCTCTCTCTTCTAGTTAGCCTGGTGAACTTTTCCCCCTCGGGTCATTCCCTCTAGTCTCCTCTTTCCGCTTGCCTGCCGGTGTCTCAGGCTATTGAGGTTCGGCTCACCTCGTGTTCTGGCGCTGGTGTGTTGAGTCTGTTGCTGGTGTCCTGAACTGTGGGCTCCCACGCTCTCCACGCAGGTCCACTGTGAATCACGCATTCCGGAAGAGTTTCTTCTGCTGTTTCTTCCCCTACTCTTCCTTGAACCTGCAGTATCTCCACTTTTATTAAACTGTCTCTCCCCGGACTATCAGTGTGCTCCCTTCCTATTCCGCCATCTTGCCTCCTCCGTGTTTTGATTTTTGTATGATAGTCAGATGGAATGGAGAGAGGTGAAAGCTCTTTGTGGTTTTTATTTGTATTTCCCTGACTGCTAGTGGTCTTGAGCATTTTTTTATGTCTCTATTGGTCATTTGCAGCAATTCTTTCATGTCTTTCCATGGCTTGATAAACCCTCCAGTTTTCTTATTCATCAGTTTATTGGAGAATAATCTTTATTGTTTACATTTGGGGCATTTATTTAATTTTCTTTTAAATTTATTTTCTTTTTAAAATTTTATTTAAGTTATACAACTTTCATGTATTTCATGTATCCAGATTTAGGAACATAGTAACACTTTCCCCCAACCTCCCCTCTCATACTAAAATCTTTCATTCTTCTCTCCATCACATTTAGGGGCATTTATTAATAAAGCTGCTAGAAGCATTCTTGGCCAGCGCCGCAGCTCACTAGGCTAATTCTCTGCCTTGTGGCGCTGGCACACCGGGTTCTAGTCCTGGTCGGGGCGCCGGATTCTGTCCCGGTTGCCCCTCTTCCAGGCCAGCTCTCTGCTGTGGCCAGGGAGTGCATTGGAGTATGGCCCAAGTCCTTTGGCCCTGCACCCCATGGGAGACCAGGATAAGTACCTGGCTCCTGCCATCGGATCAGCGTGGTGAACCTGCCGCAGCACACCGGCCGCGGCAGCCATTGGAGGGTGAACCAACGGTAAAAGGAAGACCTTTCTTTCTGTCTCTCTTTCTCACTGTCCACTCGGCCTGTCAGAAAAAAAAAAGCATTCTTATGTAGGTTTTTGTATGGATATAAATTTTTCCATCAGTTGAGTAAATACCTAATATTGTGACTATATTTAGTTTGATTTTTAAATTTTTTAAAATAAAAATATTGGGGCCTGTCCTGTGTTATAGTGGGTTAAATTGTTGGCTGCCATGCCAACATCCCATATGGGCACTGGTTTGAGTCTCAGCTGCTCCACTTCCAATTTAGCTCCCTGCTAATTGCCTGGATCATTAGCAGAGGATGGCCCAAGTGCTTGGGCTCCAGCACTGGCAGGGGAGACCCAGAGGAATCTCCTGGATCTTGGCTTCGGACTCACTCAGCCTTAGGCATTGTGTCCAATTGCGGAGTGAACCAGTGGTTGGAAGATCTCTAACTCTCTGTCTCTTCTCTCTTTCTCTCTGTAACTCTGTTTTCAAGTAAAATAAATGAATCTTTAAATTTTTTTGAAAAATAAATAAAAATACTTATTGAATTCAAATGATTTTTAAAACATTAGGTGTCTACATGATTACTGAATATTATCTCCCTAACCTTCATACAGAAGAATTGTTTATATGAGAATGAAAAGTATGTTAATCCCATCAAATCAATTTATCACTTAATTTAATTATATATTACTTATTTAATTATAAAATAATATAATTTAATTAATTAATTAATGAGTTAATTTTAATAAATTAAATGTATGAAAAAATGAATATACTTTTGCAACCTTATTTTGGTTTTGTTTTTTGCCAAACTGTATTAGCTGTGTAAATTTAACCAAGAATCATTACTATATATATTATGTATTTATAATTATTATTATATTAACAATTTTTTAAAATGTACATTTTTTTTTTGACAGGCAGAGTTAGTGAGATTTTTTTATATTATTTTTTTGACAGGTAGAGTTATAGGCAGTGAGAGAGAGACAGAGAGAAAGGTCTTTCTTCCATTGATTCACCCCCGAGATGGCCTCTACAGCCGGCGTGCTGCACTGATCTGAAACCAGGACCCAGGTGCTTCCTCCTGGTCTCCCATGCAGGTGCAGGGCCCAAGCACTTGGGCCATCCTCCACTGTCTTCCAGGCCCACAGCAGAGAGCTGCACTGAAAGAGGAGCAACCGGGATAGAACCTTTGCCCCAACCGGGACTAGAACCCAGAGTACTGGTGCTGCAGGCGGAGGATTAGCCTAGTGAGCCGCGGTGCTGGACTAATGTGCACATTATTAAAACTAGGGTGTCTTCTCTCCTTTTGTTTTTGTTTTTACTTTTTATTTATTTTATTTAAAATTTTATGTATTTGTTTGAAAGGCAGTTATAAAGGCAGATGCAACGAGAGAGAGAAAGAGAGAAAGAGAGAAAGAGAGAGAGAGAGAGAGAGAGAGAAAGTCTTCCATTCACTGGTTCACTCTCCAGATGGCCACAAAGGCCGGCCAGAGCTGTGCGTATCTGAAGCCAAGAGCCAGGAGCTTCTTCCGGGTTTTCCACATGGGTGCAGGGGCCCAAGGACTTGAGCCATCTTCCACTGCTTTCCAGGCCACAGCAGAGAGCTGGATTGGAAGTAGAGCGTACAGGAGTCAAATCAGCGCCGATTTGGGATGCCAGCACTGCAGGCGGTAGCTTTAACCACTATGCCACAGCGCTGGCCCCTGTTTTTTTTTTTTTTTTTTTTTTTTTTTGCCTCTACTTTTCCACTGTCCACCAAAAGCCTTTGATATATTAGTATTCCTTATGCTTGAATTAATCAGATGCTAATGATCATATAAATACTACTAAGAATTTAATAAAACATTGATTCAGCTAGACATTTTAAAATTTAAGTGTATGTACAAACAAGCTTTAATTCCCCCGCCACTTCATCTTCCTTGCTACCTACTTTTCTCCAGGGTCCTTCCCTGTTCTTCACTAATTGATCACTTTGGGGTGCTTCATTTAGAGCAAACTTCCTAGTAACAAAAAACTACTTGTTACTCCAGAGTAAACAAGTAGGTTGCTTGTGTATCTGATAGGTGAGATCATTTTCCTTCTCACAGTTCCCTGGACACTTTAGTATAAAAACTCTCAACAATGATAAAGCAAGTCTTTGGGACAGACTGAAAAAACTCCCAGCCCCTCAGTTAGATCAATGTCTTTTCAGTCTTTGGACACAGTAGACAGACTCAGTTAAGAGGTGCCAACTATTACCTTAGCCAATAGAAATCCTAAACATCACCCTACAATCCATCACAGATTGTTTTAAAAAAAGATACCAGTATATCACCTGGTCCCCACACCAAGGGTTTTGTGTGTGTGTGTGTGTGTGTGTGTGTGAGAGAGAGAGAGAGAGAGAGAGAGAGAGAGAGAGTGTGTGCATGCGTGAGGTAATGAGGATATGGTCTGAGTGCAAACAACGTTTTTGAAAATGAGACAAATTAAAATGGTTTGTGGCCTGAAGCAGGAAAATTAACATGAAGAAGAAGCAAAGAAAAGCCCCAGTTGCTTTGCTAAGTCTCAGTTTGTTTCCCTGGTCCTATTTTGCTGTTGTGGCATATTGGTTTTGCACAATGTGAGGTTTGATAAACTGTCTAGAATAAGAGCTCTGCTTGTTGACTCCTTTGATGGCAAGACCCATGTGTCTTGCAGAGCCCTAACATAATCTCCTCTCTCCTTTCTCCACAAGTAAGGGGACCATGACAAGAATGTGACTTTCAACATGTTATATTAACAAGTCCCTATAAAGGTAAGTGTCTTCCTTTGTTTTCAATCTTTTCTGGATGCTGAGAGGGTCTGAAAAGTCAAAATATGATTCTGTTTATGGTGCCAAGTTTAGACCGTATGTCAGCATAAAACTGGATCGTGAGTACTTTCAAGGCTTTAGGAAGCTATACTTTTTTTTGGTAGAAGGCACTTCAGTGTGTGTATAGTATGTGTGTGTGCGGGTGTGTGTACTCACACATATTCACACATGATCCCCGTTTTCTACAATTCTGAACAATGAGTATAGGCAGATGTTTTATTGAATGCCTTACACTCTGGTAGCTCTATTTCTACCTTCCACTCAGTGAAATTTCACTAAGTGTCTTCCTTTTATGTGTGAGGCACAGGGAGACATGAATACAAAGGGATTATATGCACATCTACCTAAAATAGTGCAGGCACTGGTGTGTGATAATTTAGTGATCATGAGCTTTCAAACCAGTGAGTTTTGATTCTGAGTCTTAGTTCTAGCATAATACTGAAGACATGACCTTGGTTTTAGGACTGTGTCACTGTAAGTTTTATTTCCATGCTCAATAAAATGAAACTTTTATATGAACAGTGCTACATAGGAATATCAAATTATGTAAATGTACTCAAAGCACTCTATACATTTCTAAGCCTGTAGTGTGCACTTCAGAAATGTAATTACTATTATTACTATTCATTTAGAGTAGTATTTAAGTATTAGATAATTGTAAGTAGTTAAAGAATAACATTTCATTTTAACTTTTACATATATGATATTTTGCATTTTTTAAGATAACTTTATGGGCTGGCCCCATGGTTCACTAGGTTAATCCTCTGCCTGCGGCCTTGGCATCCCATATGGGCGCCGGTTCTAGTCCCAGTTGCTCCTCTTCTAGTGCAGTTCTCTGCTGTGGCCTGGGAAAGCAGTGGAGGATGGCCCAAGTCTTTCAGCCTCTGCACCCGCATAGGAGACTGGGAGGAGGCACCTGGGTCCTGGCTTCAGATCGGAGCAGCTCCGGCCATTGTGGCCTCATGGGGAGTGAAGCAGCGGGAGGATGACCTTTCTCTCTGTCTCTCTCTCACACACTGTCTGTCAAATCAATAAATAAATAAAAAAATCTTTTAAAAAAGATAACTCATCTATAACACTATAGATGAGTAAATGAATACCCATAGGATTAAAGACCATGGCAGGTTTCCACAAGTAATTGATTGTTGAGTCAGTATTTAAAGAGAAATCCCTAGATCTCATGTTAAATATTCCTTTTAAAAAAAGATTCATTTCTTTATTGGAAAGGAAGAGTTATGGAGAGGCAGAGGCAGAGAGAGACAGAGACAGTGAGAGAGACAGCGAGGCGGGGGGAAGATCGTCCATCCTTTGGTTCACTCCCCAAATGACCATGACACTTGGAGCTGTGCCAATCTGAAACCGGGAGCCATGAGCTTCTTCTGGGTCTCGTATGCAGGTGCAGGGGCCCAAGGACCTGAGCCATCTTCTACTGCTTTCCCAGGTCATAACAGAGAGCTGGGTAGGAAGTAGAAGAGCTGGGTCTCAAACAGCGCCCACATGGGATGCCTGCACTTCAGGCGGCAGCTTTACCTGCTACGCCACAGCACTGACCACTCATATTAAATATTCTAAACTCTCCATCACAGCATTATTAAGGTATTCTAAATTAGTTAATACAAATAAGATTCTTTTAATAGATTAATTTATTTTTTTAAAGATTTGTTTATTTATTTGAAAGTCAGAGTTACACAGAGAGAGGAGAGGCAGAGAGAAGAGAGAGGTCTTCTATCGGATGGTTCATTCTCCAATTGGCCACAATGGCCAGAGCTGTGCCAATCCGAAGCCAGGAGCCAGAAACTTCTTCTGAGTCCCCCACGTGAGTGCAGGGGCCCAAGGACTTGGGGCATGTTCTACGGCTTTCCCAGGCCATAACAGAGAGCTGGATCATATGTAGAGCAGCCAGGTCCCAAACCAGCGGCCATATGGGATGCCGACACTTAAGGCCAGGGCGTTAACCCGCTGCCCCACAGCACTGGTCCCTAATTCATATTTGATTATGACAAGTATCATCTTCATTCATTCTTTTTTTTACCTTTATGAAATCACATATCAGTTAACTCCTTTTTAGCAACCTTTCTGAAATCATTGAGTATTTAACTCATTTTGTTTTTATTAATCCTCTTATTTTTGCAATTGAATCTTTCTTCTCATCTCAATCTCCCAGTGTAGAATAGATAGAGATTCTGTAAAGACGACATTGCCCAGTAGAAAATGAAAGGGGGTATAAGTAGTAGCCCTGGGTTCTCTACTTCTATGTCATACTTGACATAGTATAGGAAAATTAGTCTGTTATAGATGAATATGTTAGTATCTTCTCTGTGTTCTTGTTTCATTATGAAGTTCAGTGGTCATGACTTTAAGGAATTAAAAGTAGATTTCTAAAGCTTTTACTATAATTGGGTCTTGTATTTAAAGACATAGTAACAAGACTTCCTCAACATATATGTTAAGCTTCCTTTCAGCAAAAATATGAACTACTTTGCAACAAAGAACATAGAAACCTACAGTCCTTGAGTGTTGAGTCACATGATGGCAAGACCTAAGTTCAGGCAGATGTCTGGGATTCAATCTCAAATGCTTACAGACATTAGAACGGTAAGGTGGACATGTGAAGTAGGCAGAGATGAAGGAGGATAAGAAGTGCGAGGAGTAGAAACTGGAGAGAAAAGTTTAATATTCATCTCCAGTTCATTAGTTTCTTGGTTGAACACCAGCTTTGAGATACCAGTTGCTTTTTCATAAATCCAAATAAAAAATATTTTATGTAGATTAAAACATAGGAGGGGTCCAGATTTCATTAGAAGACAATGTAATGGGATATTTAGATATATTTTTATCTGAATATACACTTGAAACTTGCCAGATATTTGGCAGTTGCTAGAAAATTAATACTGAAAAAAATAACATTTTCTGACTAATATACATTTCATCTCCGGACTCCAATCTTTGAGCAACTAGGAACTCAATCTTTCACTTATAAATTGGCTTTTGTGCAACATCCTTTCTGCAACCTTCTTGCCTCTTTTGAACCTCAAATTACCTCAGTCATTACCTCCTCCTCTGTCTTTTCTCATCCTCTACTTTTCATTTTTGATTTTCAATTTAGGTATAGATTATTCAAAATTATTCAACTTTATACTAAGTAAAATTCCCTTCCAAATTTACTCAGCTATTTTCCCTAAAGAAGCCAGCAGACTGTACAGAACATTGAAATACATTGAATGCACACCAGCACCCAGTTTTTACTATCTCATAATGCTGTTGTGTCTGAGCAATCGTGAGCCTGAGAAAGATTGTAAGTTGAGGACCTACACACCAGGATAGAGAAGATGCTATTGCAGGCAGGAAACCTGGGATTTACTAAGAAGTTCTTTTTCAACTCAGCATGATTCATGGAGGGGAAAATAAAATTTGGAAAGAACTGGATATTTCAAAGCTATTTAAAAGTCATGTATGCCTGTTTTGAAGTCAATAGTATGTAGAATTGCTGTTTAATAATGGAGAAACAACTGCAGAAGTCACAGAGGAATCAAAGGGAAATTTTTAATCACAGGTGCAGACATAACCTTTTGCCTTACTGACAGATTTGCCATCAACTTATATCAACCTTTTGATTTTATTCTTGATACTTTTATGTGCAATTTAAATTGAAAATAAATATCTAAATTCCTTTATTCTCTTACATGCTTATTTGAGATCTGTCACCTTATGTTTTTATTTTACTCAGAGCCATGCACAGTTGCTACCTCCAAAAAGATTCTTTCTGAGGGATCACAATGATTTGTGCATAATAACCAGTATCTTAAAATGTGTCACTCTCTGTCTTATAGTTGACACAACCATTAAACCATTAAAGAGACATCCTGTTGAGCTTTTAAGAAAAATTTAAAATAGTTTCTTAATGCCTAGATAATTCACTCAGAGTAACTTCCTCCACTGGAAAAAATGAAACAGGCATAAGAAAAAGAAGACAGAATTATGATGACTCATTTGGGAAACAGTAGTAATGTGTTTAGAAAACCATCCCTATAAACAGGAAAGGGTGCTTTGAGAATTCCTGCTCCCTCACTTCAAGAGGCCTCCAGGTAAAAGGGTTCAAAAGAGCAACTTGGAGACTTCAGAATTTTATAGTTCTTAGAGGCAAGGTAGGCCAGGCCCTCATCTTGCGCAAAGTCCAAGGGGAAATGCCAGCATCTGCTACACTGGGGAGCTAGCTAAGCCTGGGCTGCTGCAATTATTTTTAGGCAAAAGATGAAAGGTCTTCCATCCACTGGTCCACTCCCCAAATGGCCGCAACACTCAGAGCTGAGCTGAACCGAAGCCAGGAGTTCTTCTGGGTCTTCCATGTGCATCCAAGGGCCCAAACACTTGGGCTATCTTCTAAGGCTTTCCAAGGCCGTTGGCAGGGAGCTGGATCAGAAGTGGAGCAGCCAGACCTCAAACCAGTGCTGCAGGCTGGGGCTTTAATCCATTGTGCCACAATGCTGACTCCTGTTCTAAGTTTTTAATACTCATGATATCAGAATTCACATTAGTAAATGTAATTATTTTATAATTAAAATAATTGTAATACTTTGTTACCATAAAGGCAGTGCATCTACTAGTATTTTCATAAAATGGCAAGAGGAAGTACAATGGAAAAATGTTACAAAAACAAATTATAATAAAGATCATATCCAGGGCCCATGCTTGTCCAATAAATCCATTAAATGCATTCATTTTTCACATATCATCCTTATATCTTGTTACAGATGACATGGGATCTTCCTCAATGATAGGTGCTGAAGAGGAGATGGAAACAACCAATGATAGTGCAGGTGGATATTTCATCTTAGTGGGCTTCTCTGAACGACCCAAGTTGGAGGTGATCCTCTCCCTCTTTGTTTTGACATTCTACAGTGTAACCCTTGTGGGTAACATTGCCATCATCTTACTGTCAATCCTGGATGTTAGACTCCACACACCCATGTACTTCTTCCTCAGAAACCTCTCTGTGCTCGACCTCTGCTTCACCACCAGCATTGTGCCCCAGATGCTGGTGAACATGTGGGGAGGCAGCAAGAAGATTAGCTATGCTGGTTGCATGGTCCAGTACTGGGTGGCATTGGCACTTGGCTCCACTGAGTGTGTCCTCCTTGCAGTGATGGCAGTTGACCGCTATGTTGCAGTCTGCTGGCCTCTGCGCTATGCCTCCATCATGCACCCTACACTATGTTACTTCCTGGCAGCAGCTTCTTGGTCCTCTGGCTTTGCCAACTCGTTTCTGCAGTCCTCGATGGCCATGGTACTGCCTCGATGTGGAAATCGGCGTGTGGATCATTTCTTTTGTGAGCTGCTGATTATTGTGAAGCTGTCCTGTGTGGATACTGGCCCAACGGAGTCCAAAATGTTTATTGCTAGGCTAATCATCCTGGGCATGCCTGTTTCCATCATCCTGACTTCTTATGTGTGCATTGCCAAAGCAGTGCTGAAAATGCGTTCTGCAGAGGGCAGGAAAAAGGCATTTGGGACCTGTGCTTCCCACCTGATTGTGGTCTCACTTTTTTATGGAACCATTATGTTTTTGTATCTGCAACCAAAGGACAACTATTCACAGGACCAGAGCAAGGCACTGGCAGTACTCTACATGATCTTGGCACCCACTCTCAACCCCCTGATCTACACACTGAGAAACAAAGATGTGAAGAAAGCAATCAGGAAGGTGGTAGGGAAGGAGCAGGTTTAGGGAGGACAAGTGAGGCAATCACAGGAGACACAACAGTCTCTGCTTCCTTTAACTGCACTTGTTTCACTTTTCTTCTAGGTGGATTAGAATATCCACTATGTTCCCTGACTATTCCCAAGACTCCTTCAAGAAGGGAATTTATCAGAAGAACATTTAACCTTTTCTGAAAGAAACTTGTGGCCAGGGAATTTCTCACCAGCAAGCAAATCTGCATCCAACTATTAATGGATTTTAGTCTCAATGAACAATAATTTATTCAAATGCCATCAACAATATATAAAGTTGTTATAATAATGCTGATAATATTTTGCTGTATTTATTAAGTAGCTTTATGGCCATAGCAGATTCTATATCATCTCCGTATCTTCACATCACCACAATTAAAATGATAAGGTCTTTTGAATTTAGAGGATTTAGTCCATAACATACAATAGAATGCTCATATATCATTGAGAAACACATGTAAAACAAAAGCAAAGAATAGAGAATAATGAATAAACAAGGACTATATACCCTACCAGTAATTACGATTAGAAATGAAAAGAATCACATGACCATGACCATTCAGTTCAAAGCTATAGAATTTGTCAAATGTTTTATAGTATTGAACTTAGCTCCAGAAGAGATATTTTAACAATGGATATATTTGTGGGGGATGTAACAAGGTTTATAAATGTTGTGGTCATGAAAATGATAACTGATCACATAGTTTCAAATTCACATAGGCATTTCCAGGATGTGCTATTACTTTATGGCCCAATATAGGATGCAAGTCCACCCTAATTGCCTGAGACATAGCTCAGAGCCTTTGAGAACATATCCTTTCAAAGTGGAAGTGGTTGCATATCATGCTACTACATACAGTTATGATTTACAGGAAGCACTATTTTGTCCTTTTTAAATAATCACTCATTTGTTTAAAAATGAGTTTAACATTCTATAAATACCAAAAAATGTGGGTCAAATGAATGAGTTGTTTTGACAAAATGTCCATGTAAGAGCCAGTACATGGGTTGGACTGCCTCTGAAACAGCTTTGTGGTGTTATATGTATCATTTTATTAATATAGGATGGACATTTTGTATCGTAAGTGATTGAAGGCATAGATTGAATAAATAGCCTTATATATAATTTACCGCAGCTATCTCTATTCAACAAGATTTAAATAACCATACTGAAGCACAGCAATCTAGGATTACTTCAAATACAAATATTGGCTTAAAGGGAGAAAAAGACATAACATTTTTTTTAAATCAGCTTTCCAATTAAAGAAATAATTCTCAACAAAGGTAAAAATTTGTCCCACAGTTCTTCCCCTACATTTGGCTATGTCTGTGGATATTTTGAGTTTTCTCAAGCTGGGAAGGACGTGTTAGTGGCATCTAGTAGGTGAAGACCAAGGACCAAGGATGCTGCTAAATATTGTTTTATCCACAAGATGGCACCATACATAAAGGATTGCATGAAAACGAGGTTTGTTAAGGAAACTCCGTGCTCTAGCAAAAGCATGAAGCCGTCAACCGCTGTATACTTGAAAGATTAGAGGAGGAAGTGGTACTACTAGAAATTAAGGGATAGAATCATTGGAAAGAACAACAACAAGCATGTCAGCTCAGCTCTGCTGCAGCCGCAGCTGCAGAAATGGTACTGCCTACTGCCTGAGGTGCCACAGAAGCTGAGTGAGTGTAAATGATAGTCTACTTTATCCTTTTGTTCTGCCCTCTGACTTCTTTGAGAGACAAAGAAATGTAGTCTTAAAGATCATTAATGCTTCTCCCCATTCCATATTCCATCCTGCCATAAAACTAAGTAGATTATAAGAAGAGCAGAATATGTATCTGAAGACAAATAAGGTCATGTAGAACTGAAACATTTTCATTTCACCCAGCATCCATTCAGTATAAATATTTACCTCTCCTGCAATGTCACCTTATAAAAAGGCAACACTTTGCCTCTCTCCAGCAGGAGGGGTACAGGTTTTGCCATTCACTGTGTCCATCTCAAGTCCATAAAATCCAGATAATACATCATCCTTTTCATATTTTCTAAGAGTAATTTCTCAAGATCTGATGGCTTATGAACAAAATTAAAAGTAATTGGTTTATACTGTTGAAATCTTTACTTAATGTATACTAAACTGATCTTCTGTATATAAAGAGAATCGAAAATGAATCTTGATGTGAATGGAAGGGGAGAGGGAGTGGGAAAGGGGAGGGTTGCGGGTGGGAGGGACGTTATGGGGGGAAGCCATTGTAATCCATAAGCTGTACTTTGGAAATTTATATTCATTAAATAAAAGTTAAAAAAAAAAGAAAAAAAAGTAATTGGTTTATAAATCTGTGTGACTATATCTCTTGAATACAATAAGTTATATATTACATATAACAATTATAAATAACATGAAATGTTATAAATAATGTTATATATTATCAATTTATAGTGGATGTGTGCATATGTATTATGCATATTATATACATGCATATATATTATATGTAATAGCCAGGGTCTTTATTTCCAAAATGGGTCATAAGGCCACTGTATTGATTTCGGTCACATCATTCTTCTACAATTCTGTTTATGTTTCCTTTGCTTTCAATCACTACTGTGTGAATAGAACCAAACTTTAATTTCTAGAAATCATGAGGTCTTAGTGATTATGTCTTTGTTGGAATGGTATAATCTCCCCAAAACATTCAATATCAAACATGGCAGTACCATGACTACCTCCAGATAATTTGGTTGCTTTCCAACATAACTCTTTCTTATTGGCTTTGTGTGACAACAGGCCTATTTCCCTTGATAATTACAATTACTCACCTCAGAAAAGAAATTAGTACTCAACTAATTTTCAGTTCAGTAATGTCATGACATGAGGAACCCAGTAGGTGATTATAACCACATTATCGTATCCTCTGATTGATATTTCTCCTTTAGGAACTAGGACCTCAAGAGCATGAGAGACCAAGGCTATATGGATGAGAAGAAAAACTTGAGTAGATTGTTACTGAAAGAGTTTAGTTACTGGACCCATGAATTCTAGCCTGAGCATCTAAGTGATTGCTCTAACCACCCCTATCTGAACCATGGAGTAAGTATCCAGTCACTTGAGTCACAGTAAGCACAGGACTATGTCTTTTTTAAAAAGATTGACTTTATTTATTTGGACAGAGTTATAGAGAGGGGAAGTCCCAGAGGGAGAGAGATAGAGAGAAGTCTTCTATTCTGCTGGTTCACTCCACAAATGGCCACAATGGCCAGAGCTGAGCTGATCCAAAGTCAGGAGCCAGAAGCCAGGGGCTTCTTCTAGGTCTACCATGTGGGTGCAGGGGCCCAAGGAGTTGGGCCATTTTCTGCTTCCCCAGGCCATAGCAGAGAGCTGGATTGGAAATGGAGCAGCTGGGACTTGTACCAGCACCCATATGGGGTGCTAGTGCTGCAGGCTGGGACTTTAACCTGCTGCACTACAGTGCTGGCCCCATGACTACATCTTAAAACTAGAAAAAAAAACCACTGGGTAGATGCTAATGGGCACTGTCCCTGTATCAGTGCTTGGGGACAGAATCCTTGAAGATGACACAGTCTAAGTGGAGACCAATAGCACATTCAATTGTACTTATATCCTGGGCAGCATAAACTATAGTTAGTGACACCAGTCTTGGTCTATAAGCCCACCTCAGCAGGCTTACCATAGCAAAGTGGGCCTTGGACGTATATTTTACTGTGCTTGTCTTGGAAGAGTGTGTAATCTGGATGAGATTCAGCTTTGCGCTGGCGCCGTGGCTCAACAGGCTAATCCTCCGCCTAGCGGCGCCGGCACACAGGGTTCTAGTCCTGGTCAGGGTACCCGATTCTGTCCCGGTAGCTCCTTTTCCAGGCCAGCTCTCTGCTATGGCCTGGGAGTTCAGTGGAGGATGGCCCAAGTGCTTGGGCCCTGCACCCGCATGGGAGACCAGGAGAAGAACCTGGCTCCTGCCTGTGGATCAGCCTGGTGCGTTGGCTGCAGCATGACGGCCGCAGCATGCTGGCCGCAGCGTGCCGGCCATGGTGGCCATTGGAGGGTGAACCAACGGCAAAAGGAAGACCTTTCTCTCTGTCTGTCTCTCTCACTGTCCACTCTGCCTGTCAAAAAAAAAAATGAGATTCAGCTTTGCAGCATGGTTGCATGTTACTCACTCCATTTCTTCAGAGGCCATGGGAAGCAAAACACAGAGAGAAAAAATACCTTCTGGGTGAATAAAAGATGGTGGGTGCCAAGGCATAGCACAGAAACTTTGGATGGTTCCTCAGGGACCCACACAGCCCTGCTGGACTTTGACCCAATGCAACCATGACTCTATGTCCCTAGAAATGCAAGTACTTACACAAAACACCTATAATTCCCAGCAAGCATTTCCAAAACCACTGTTACAGTGGACTGAAGGCTGGCACCCTTGTGACAGTCTACCTTGCCCCATGGGCTGTTATCGAGACCTGTGTAATCCTGGTGGGGCCCCTTCTGCCTCTACCATCAGCTGTTATGTCAGAAGACATAGGGAGTCTATGCTACAGCACCCAACCAGAAATAAAGTAAAAATATTACATTACACCACTCTGAAGATTTATATTCAGGAAAAAGACTTTTGCCATGATATGTCCATTAAAAGTAATGGAACTAACTAGTTTACCAGATGTACACATATCAACATAGGGACGCAGGAAGTATTAAAAATCAAGGTGATATGGCCCCTTCAAATGAAAAAAATTAACACTTTCATAACAGACTGAAGAAAAGGAAGTTTATTAAATGCCTGATAAATAATTCAATAAATGAACATTAGGATGCTCAAAGAGAATAAAGAGAGACAGTTGAAGAAAATCAGGAAAACAATGTATGATATGTATGAAAAATTCAGCAGAGATCTAGAAAAAAGAGCAAAATAGATATCTTTGAAATACAAAGCTCAATAATTCTAAATACAGTGGAAGAGGATCCAAGATGGTTGAATAAAAAGACCTGCATTCACCTTTGCCACAAGGAAGAACCGGAACAACAGAGGCAGGACCATGTTTCCAAAGATAGATTGGGGAGAAGCATCAGTAAGAACTAATGGGACCATTAAGTAGCACAGAGCCTTGGAAAGCCAGAATTTAGAGAGTAACAAACCACAACACAAATTCTACACCAACTCTCCATCCAGAGAACTCTATCTTGTTAGAAAAGGTAAGCAGAAAGCTCTATAACAGACTGGCAGCTCTAACTACAGAATTCTACAGTCTTCACTGACATTAAATTCATTTTACAGAGCTGATTGGAGTCTGAGCAAATGCCTTGTTCTAGAAAAGAAAGCCACGAAGTCTTTTACCCCAAC